TCAGCGTTTTCTGGCGGAAATTGACCTATAGGACTAACATTGGCATTTCGTGTAAAGATTCATGATTACATTGGCAAATTCAGAAAGCTTAAGATTGAATTGATAACCGTACAATAAGTTGAGGACTAAATTGACAATTATTCCCACTTTTTTTTTTAATCCATGCATCATACGTTCCTCTTTTATGCTGGTTTGGTTATCTGAACGGGAATTGCGCTAGAATAGGACAAGGTCAGATTAGAACTCCTTCTGATCGTAAAAAATCTCATCGTATATATAGTGCACCTGGGATGGAATTGAAATCCCATGCTCGAGCTCGTCGCGACGTCTAACGAATCCATCAGAACCAAGACTCTCAATACTTCTGCAAGGCCCTCTTCACTTTGTTCGCACCCTGCGATTTGTGCCACGACTGCCCTCCCGACCTTTAGGATTAGTCCAAACAACGGAGCTAGGATGCCAAAGCTGGATCATGGTGGAAAAACCAAAAATCATATACCATATATTTACGTATAATTCATCCATACATTGTTATATATCCTGCTTAGAAAGGCAAAAAAGAAAATTTTTAAACACAGAACTTTCTTGTAACATATTTTATTGGTAGGTGCGACTTATAGAAGTTGAATAGAAGATTAATTTGATATTAAACTAAACTATCGATCGAGCCCGAAACTAAACAGATGAAAGCCCGTAAGACTCGAGGGGGACACTAGGGCAAATTATTGCAGTGCAGTCCGGATGGGCATTTTGTTTTGATAAAGCCGAGTGAGCGTGTCTACATCAAAACGTAATAGTCGCACAACAAAAACGAATGACCCAGAAACGCTGCAATCCGCAGCCTTATTCTGCTTAGTTTCATGGTTGAAGCAACGTAACGAAGATAATGAAAGCGGAGTTCGGACGTATCCCGGACCATCCTGAGGGGCTTACCGCGCTTTTTCCTGCTCTTTCGGATGATCGGTCATGGTAATTCGAGTGAATCTAATCGGAGCATACGGTATTCAGTAAGACCATTTTTGTTGTTTCGATAGGATTCGGGTAGTCAAAGCTTCCATGTCGGATAAGAACTGTGATGGGTTGGGTGTCTACTTGTCCTTTGGCAGTAATAGATTTTCTGACGCTGTGAGTTGTCCTTTTGGCAACCAAAAGATCCGTCGACACCAATGTTGGCATCTCCACTGTAATTAAGCACACAGTCTCTCCTATCACCCGGCAAGTTCACTCTAGAGTTGAAGATGGAAAGCTCAGGCTCAAGCCAAGCCAGATGCATCACGGGCAACAATGGAGAGGCCGAACTAAGGCTGCGATGCCAAGAGTAAACGAGCTGGTTGGGTTACATTCCCTTTCATCACAGGTCTCTCTCTCTCTCTCTCTCTCTCTCTCTCTCTGAGTCGAACAAATTTTATTTGGATGAACGTCTGAATCGTCTTAGCCATGATGAACCAGGAACGGTGGCCCTGTTGATGTTGGGGGGAAATGGATGGATGACGAACTTGATTGTGTATTTGATCGAAGAGTTCAACGTGGACCGGATCGACGCGGTGCAGATTTACAACGTGGTCAACGGTTGCTTCTGTCTCCTCCCGATCCTCGGCGCGATAATAGCCGACTCTGGACTCGGATGCTTCGTAGTTGCCTCCATTTCTTCCTTCATAGCCTCAGTGGTACGATAACATCTCAACCTCGTAATCTTGCTGTTCACAGCTTCTCTTCCAATTGCTGAATTAGACAGTCTGTGGGCTAATTACAAGTAATATACTACTTAGAGTCTGTACATTATCACATTGTTTCATAATGAACTGATCGAGAAAATTAAAAAGAGATTCTCAGTAGCAAACCGTAACAACCTGCTTTCTAGGGGAATCTTTGTTCTTTTTCAATGTTGGAAACATTGAGATTACTTTAGAGCACTCATCTGGAGGGCTCTCTTGTATGTAAGACTTGCTGAGAATCTTGTCTCTGATGAATTTTTAAAGTGGGTTTGCTCACAACTGACTGATCAATAGCATTTCTTTTTTGGCCTACTTGCCACTTGCAGGGTGTAGTCCTTTTATCCTTAATTCGATCAGACCCGAGCCGTGTGGAAACAAATCAAGCTTGTGCAAAGGCCCGTCGAACCTTCAACTCGCTGTGCTCTACACAGGGATAGTTCTAGCAACACTTGGAGCATCCGGAGTGAGGTTCACCACAGCAACATTAGGGGTGAACCAGTTCGAAAGCCAAAAGGATCAATCGACTTTCTTCAACTGGTTCTTCTTTGCACAATGTGCATGTTTCGTCCTAGGCAGCACGCTGATCGTGTACATCGAGGACAGTGTGAGTTGGGCCTTGGGATTTTGGTTATGTTTCACTGCGAACCTCATTGGGCTCGCAGTTCTCGTCGCAGGAAATCGGTATTATCGCCATGAGACACCTCAGGGGAGTTCATTACTGAGCTTAGCTCGTGTCCTTGTTGCTAGTTTGCGGAAACGGAAGCTTCAGGTAACACTGAATAGCGATGAATTCTGTTACGGCCGACATGGACAGAATAAGGAGGCGGACGTACCGCCTAAAAAGAACTTCAGTTACCTACAAACAAGAGTGCGAATTAATTCTTTCTCTACAATGTTCGCTAAGACTTCTCTAGCTAAATGATTCAACAATATTGTCGCATTGATTGATGGATGTGTTATCTTCTCAAATAGATAGGACCACAATCACGATTCCTAGACATGATCTCATAGGGTTAATTAAGCACACAACATCAGCTTATTTCCTCATCTATCAAGTGCAAGTAATCTGAAATCTGAATAACCCCACCTAGGTTTAGACTTGCCATCTAAGGTGGAACTTGGACTTCTTGGTCATTAAATAAAACGCAAGAAGAAAACTAGATGTATACGAGTAGCCCGATAAACGGGTACACGTTCTTTCGTCGGGAAGATTATCAAAAAAGTCATAAACCTTTTGCAATTGCGCCAATTCAGTCCTAAACCTTTTTTTTTTGGCCAATTCAGTCTTAAACCTTTTGTAATTGTGCCAATTCAGTCCATCCGGCCACTTTTGGCCGGCCGGCTCTGACGTGGCAATATTTTAATAATTTTTTACTATTTTTCGAAATCTTTTTCTCTTTCTTTTTTTTTTCCCTATCTTCTTCCCCAGTTGCCGGTCCGGCGAGAGGCTGAGGTCGGCGAGTTGGAACTCGCTGGCCATGGGCGAGGCTAGCCCTCGCTAGCACTGGCGAGGGCGAGCATCACCCAGATCTGGTGAGACCTCGCCAGATTTGGGAGAGGCCTCACCCGGTCATGGCGAGGTCGGCCTTGCCCGGCGACGGCGAGGCCGCCCAGATCTGGCGAGACCTCGTCGTCGCAGGGCGAGATCGAGCCTCGCCAGGTCTCGCCATGGCTGGGCGAGGTCGACTTCGCCCAGCGACGGTGAGGCTTCGCCCAAATCTGGTGAGACCTTGCCCGGTGATGGCAATGTCTCGCTAGATCTGGGCGAGGCCTCGCCGTCGTTGGATGAGGTCGACCTCTCCCGGCGACGGCGAGGCGGAACTTGCCGGCCTCAGCCTCTCGCTGGTTGCTGGATCGTCAACCGGGAAAGAAGATAGGGAAAAAAAAGAAAGAGAAAAAAATTAAAAAAATTCGAAAAATAAAAAAATTATTAAAATATTGCCACGTCAGCCGCCCAGTGTCCACGTCAGCGCCGGCCGGCCAAAAGTGGCCGGATGGACTGAATTGGCACAATTGCAAAAGGTTTAGAACTGAATTGATCAAAAAAAAAATTTAAGACTGAATTGACACAATTACAAAAGATTTATGACTTTTATAGTAATTTTCACTTCTTCCGTCTGAGGACATCGGACGATGATGCATATAATGTTAATCGGTGAAATTAAGCAATCAAGAGAGAGAATGTTACAGTTAATTCACAATCAAAGTGATGGGACACGATTCCTTTTCCCTTTCGCAGGTTCGTAAATCGTGCCGCCATGAAAACTGATGGGAACACCAAGTCCGACAACTCGATCGCCAGACCTTGGAGGCTCTGCACAGTGCAACAAGTGGAGGACCTAAAATCTGTGATCAAAGTGTTACCACTGTGGTCAAGTGCCATCTTCTTGAGCACCCCAATCGCTGTCCAAAACAGCATGAGAGTCCTCCAAGCCCTAACCATGGACCGCCACTTAGGACCTCATTTCATGATTCCAGCGGGTTCAAACCTTGTCTTGATCATGATCTCCACCTTGGTCTCTCTCGCTTTGATTGACCGCTGTCGCTTCCCATCCGCACGGTGGAAAAAGCTGACCAGTTCGCCTCCAACAGTATTCCACAGGATTGGTGTTGGTCATTTGCTGAATGTGCTTGGCATGATTGTATCGGCGCTAATCGAGTCATGCACACTCAGGACCGTCCATCTCCAGAATGTCAACAATCATATCCCACTCCTAGGCGGGATTTTTTTCTATCTAGATTATATCTGGTCAACATCTGGACATATTCGAATTTTGCGTTGTCTAGTATAATATAACTTCAGGATAAATATTATCCTAATCCGTATTATATCAGCCCACCATACATAGCCAATCGTATTGCAAATTGGGCACCGCATTTGCTGGTCACGTATTATTTCCCATGCAACTACAAGTGAGGATCTGATCTCTTTTATTTTTCAAAATTTGTTTGAATCTATCGATATCGAGAAAGAATCCCCTTCTTTCTCTAATTTGACCGCGTGAAGTTATTCACTCTAAAGTTAATTGGAAGTCCTAGGATCGGTTCTTCAAATTGTCACTTTCTTTGTTTTGCTTAGTTTTATGGATCGGGCACTATATTGTGACGGAGTTTAGAGGTATCTTGGACCATCCCAAGGGGCTCATCGTGCCATTTTCTCGTGCTGTTGGATGATTGGTCATGGTTGTTTAAATGAGGTGATCCAGCCGGAGTATCTGGTATCTAGATAGGCCCTTTTGTTTCGACAAGATAGGCAAGCCTTCTTAATTGGACAATGACTGATTAGTAGGGTGTCAACTTGGTCCTTTGGCAATGATAGTTTTTCTCACGCTGGGAGCTGTCCTTTTGGCAACAAAGAGGACTGTTGACACCTGTGAGCATCCCACTATAATTAAGCACACAGGCTCTCCTATTGCTCGACAAGTTCACTCAAGCGTTTCGACCAAAAAAAAAAAAAGAAGCTCACTCAAGCGTTGAAGATGGAAAGCTCGGGCTCAAGCAAAGCCAGATGCATCGCAGGCAACAACGGAGAGGCCGAACTAAAACCCTCCAATGCCGAGAGGAAACGAGCTGGTTGGATTACATTCCCATTCATCATAGGTCTCTCTCTCTCTCTCTCTCTCTCAGTAAAACTAGGTTTATTCTGAGGAACGTCTGAAACGTGTCTGCCATGATGAACCAGGCGCGGTGGCCTTGTTGAGCGTGGGTGCAACTGGATGGATGGCGAACTTGATTGTGTACTTGATCAAAGAGTTCAATATGAACCGGATCGATGCGGCGCAGATTTACAATGTGATCAACGGCTGCTTTTGTCTCCTCCCAATCCTCAGCGCGATCATAGGTGACTCCGTCCTAGGATGCTTCTTGGTTGCCTCCATTTCTTCCTTCATAGCCTCAATCGTAAGATGGCATCTCAACCTCACAATCTTGCTGTTCACAGCTTCTCTTTCAAGTGCTAAATTAGACGGTGTTTGATAATAGTGGGCTAATTACAAGTAATATGATTATTAGGGTGTGTTTGTTTTGGAGAAAATTTCACGAATACAAATTTTCTGGAAGATCATTTTTCAGATTAGAAAATCAATTTTCCTAACTTTAAGCATGCATATTTTCTTTGACTGTAAATGAGTTTCTTTTGAATGATTATTTTCAGCAAACCAAACACGTGAAAATTCGAAAAATTAATTCATGAAATTTTTTTTTCACTCAAACAAACACCCTACATCATTAAATGATTTTCACAGCGAACTGATCAAGAACATTAAAAAAGAAAAGAATAATAAAAGAAATTCTCAGTAATAAACTCTAACTCCCAAGCAATCTTTATTCTTTTTCAACGTTGGAAACATTGAGATTGCTGAAGAGCACACATCTCTAGGTCTCTCTTGCAGACAAAGTCTTCCTGAGAATCTAGTCTCTCTAGTGAATTTTTAAAGTGGGTTTCCTCATGACTGATCAATAGCATTATTTTTGGCCAACTTGCCACTTGCAGGGTATAGTTCTTTTATCCTTAACGGCCACACTTAATTCGTTGAGACCCGAGCAGTGCGGAAATAAATCAAGCTCGTGCAAAGCCCCATCTAACCTTCAATTCGGTGTGCTATACACGGGGATAGTTCTAGCAACACTCGGAGCGGCCGGAGTGAGATTCACCACGGCAACATTAGGGGCGAACCAGTTCGAAAGCCAAAAGGATCAATCGACTTTCTTCAATTGGTTCTTCTTTGCACAATACGCCGGTTTTGTCCTGAGTTGCACGCTGATCGTGTATGTCGAGGACAGTGTGAGTTGGGCCTTTGGATTTTGGTTTAGTGTCGCGGCGAACTTCATTGGTCTCGTGGTTTTTGTCGTGGGAAATCGGTATTATCGCCACGAGACACCTCAGGGGAGTCCATTACTGAGCTTAGCACGCGTCCTTGTTGCTAGTTTTCGGAAATGGAAGCTTCAGCTCACACTGAATAGAGATGAGTTCTATTATGGCCGAGATGGACGGAATAAGGAGGTGGACGTACCCCCAAAGAAGAACTTCAGGTACTACAAGCAAGAGTGCGGAGTTAAATACTATTTCTACATTTTCCTAAGACTTCTTCCTTTAAATGACGCAACAATATGTGTGCCATTGACTGATGAATCTTTTATTTTCCCACATAGATAGGACCAACAATCACGATGCCTAGCCATAATCTCATTGGTTTGATTTAGTGGTTAAGGAGCAGAGATGTCTGTGTAACTTAGGCATATAACTCCAGTTCGATTCCTCATCTATCAAGTGTAAACAATTTGAAATATGAACCACCCACCTAGGCTTAGACTCGAGCCAGCGAATGGAACTTGGACTTCTTGGTCATTATGTAAAAAACAGGAAGAAAGCTGGATGTATACGAATAGCCCAATTAGTGCGCAAATTTTCTTTTGTATGAGAACATCAAGCAATGCTCATGTGCTTGTTTTACTATCGCTCGTTCATTTTCGAATGCAAATGAATGTTGATTGGTGAAATCAAGCTATCAGGAGATATGATGTTACAGGTAATTCACAACTACAACTGATGGGGGTCGATTCCTTTTCCCTTTCACAGGTTCTTGAATCGCGCTGCTGTGAAAACTGATGGAGACACCAAGTCCGACAACTCGATCGCCAGACCATGGAGGCTATGCACAGTGCAGCAAGTGGAGGACCTAAAATCTGTGATCAAAGTGTTACCACTGTGGTCAAGCACTATCTTCTTGAGCACCCCAATCGCTGTCCAAAACAGCATGACAGTCCTCCAAGCCCTAACCATGGACCGCCACGTAGGACCCCATTTCACGATCCCGGCCGGTTCAATCCTTGTCATGATTATGATCTCCACCTCTGTTTCTCTCGCTTTGATGGATCGCTTCCAATCCCTATTCCCACTATGGAAAAAGCTGACCGGTTCGCCTCCAACAGTATTGCACAGGATTGGTATGGGTCATCTCCTGAATGTGCTTGCCATGATTGTATCGGCGCTAATCGAGTCACGCAGGCTCAGGATATCCCATCTCCACCGTCTCCAAAATGTCAACAATCATACAGTCCCAATGTCTGCACTGTGGCTATTCCCTCAACTGATTCTGGTCGGAATTGGAGAAGCATTCCATTTTCCGGGACAAGTGTTGTTGTACTTCCGAGAATTCCCGGCGAACTTAAGCAACAGTGCGACCGCAATGGTCTCGGCTGCGATTGGGATATCTTACTATTTGAGCACCTTGTTGGTCGATCTGGTTCGGAGGAGCACCGGGTGGTTGCCGGAGAACTTGAACGATGGGAGGTTGGATTGCATGTATTGGTTGCTTGCTGGGGTTGGGCTGGCGAATTTTGGGTATTATCTCGTATGCGCAAAGTCGTACAAGGGAAAAGATGGGAGTTCTAGTTCGAATCTTCCAATGACGGATGATGCTGGTGAAAAAGAATGAGGTCCTAAATGCGTTTGTCCATGCATGCTGGGATTAGTCTATGTATATTTCTTGTCTACTTCGACAAAATGATGTTACTTTGAACGCCCGCTTCTTCATGGAGGACTTTTTCAATAAATATATATGTTTGCACATATCTATTATATCTATAATTAAAGCCGGAGCAATGAGAGAAGGTTCGCTCCTTTGCTCGCTATATGGCATTTGACTTTGTTTTTGTGACTGCCACATGGCAAGACATTTGGTATAATTTTGCCACGTGGCCTGCGTTCGGCTAATAAGCATTCGCTTATTGATCTGTCATGTCAAAAAAATTTCTCTCTTATTGAGGTTAATCAAAGTATGAAATTTTCAAATTTATGTGCAAAGATATAGTTTGTTGCCATTTCCAAACTTCTATATATAATTAGTTTAAATGTGAAAAAGTACATAAGGAGAAGTATTGTATCGCTCCAATATAGAAAAACTCTTCCAATAAAGAAATTTATTTAATTTAAAACTTAGCAAAATGCAATGGATGATATATTTTATTCCTTGCCAAATCATTGCTAATGTAAAGTATAATGCAATTTATTGAAGCAGCACAAATTAGTGAATGAACTTCTTGGTCTAAATCTGATTTTTAATATACATTTTATTTAAATTAAACTTAAAAATAAGCTAATTAAAAAAAATAGGTGAGAAACCTGGCCGCGGTGCATCTTCCTTTTTTTAGCTTATTTTATTTTATTTAAATAAAATATATATTAAAAATCAGAAATATACTAAAATAATATCGATTTAGCCACGTCATCGCCAAGTAGGATAGAAAAAATAAAAAAAGTCATGTCTGCATTTTCTATTAGCCAAATTGGATGGAGTTAACAGAAGAACTTGATTGCACCAATTTGACAATTTTTTGGACTTGATTGCTAGTTTTGCAAGTTTTAGAATTCAATTACACTTTTGTATCAAGTTTTATGACTTCTAGTGCTTATCCCTAGAACTTTTAAAATTGCAATAAAATTACAAAATATAAAATCTCATCTTCATCTAAACATAACACATTTACATTTTTTTGGAAGTTTAAAGCAATAATTGAAATGATTTAATTCGTAAATCCTCTTAGTTTGACTTCCAAGTTTTTCAAAGGTGGCGATAATGATAAATTCCATGAGTGGAGTTTGTTGGGCTACACTTTTTCCTTCAATTTACCTGTTCAAATAAATTTTAAGGAATTGATAAAGAGTTATGGTTTTGTGCATTTCCTTAGCCAAAGATTCTTTGATTTAACTTAATTTAGAACTAAACGAAATCGAATGGCCTTTTGTGTATCCAAGTAATTCTATTCGTTGAATAAAAAATAAATAAAATTTCAAGAAATTACAACTCATCACAGATACATTCACTTCATTTTCTTTTTTTTATTTTAACTCATCGAAAATACATTCACTCATTATAAAAACATCGCATTTACATTTTATTTATTATCTAGAATAATCCCTAAAATGATTAAATTTTTAAAAAATTTAAATTATATTGATGAGGACAAAGAAATTTTAGTTTGTTGTGCTACAACATGTTTATTTTATCTCACAATTCAATTATATTTTTTTGCAAATATATTGATAGAGGAGACATAATGGTTTGAGTCGGATTATCAGAGAAAATTAATTTAAGGAACAGTGAGAAGAAATGGTCTGAGAATCCAGCAATCCAGGGGCCATTGTTATCCCTAATAACTACTCCAGCACCAGCCCTTTTCCAGGACAGATCCATTCGTACCCAATCAGAGAGTCCTAGGAGGAGGGGTTCCTTTGGACGTGGCCATTGCTTTGCTTGCTCTTTGTCTAACCAGATTTTGAGTTCTCTTCAGCATAACTCCTACTGGAATTGCTGGTATTCATATCAGGGAAGAAGTTTCGGAACCTCGCCGGCTTCAAACTATGTCAAGGGCCATAAGGAAAGACACCCCTCCAATGTCGGCCGGATGGCACATTTTACGGGTTGAGAATTCGACCACACCACATTTTAGGAGAAATTGACATGCTGCGATGCTTTCGTTTCATAGCCAGCCACATGAAAGTCTGTGTTCTTGGGGCACACTTAACCTTCCAAGCTCTAGTAAGGTTTGTGTCCCGAACTCCCGGATTAAGATTCGGCTCGAAGGTCCTTCTCGAAGGTCTCACGACCAGCCATTATTGCTTTCCAGGTGCGAGACGTAAGGCTTGCTTTACCTCTAGCACTTTTCCTATCTCTCATATACCCGTTGAATAGCGTCTGAGCCCAGAGAGACTAGTTATCTTTGAGAAATCTCCAATTCAGCTTGGCTGGACAGGCGAGACGCCAACGATTATGCATGGTAACATGTTTTCCAGCTTACAGGTTGAATCTTTCTCTTTTGTTCGGAGTAGCCCCATAACAAATCCCTATGGATTCTATCACGACCACATTGCATATAGTAATTAGGAACAGACTCCATCACTGAAGAAACCAACGCGCAACGTCCAGCATCCCGCCAACTTGCCACGGACTTTATCATCAATAAAGTCAAACTCACAAGCATTTTTTTTCTTTTTGAGAGATGGGAAAACCCAAATACTTATCAAATGACCTAGTCACACGAAAGCCAAGAATGGATGCCATAGACGAACAGTACTCTATCCATACTATGCAAAAAAGCAAGTTCCGGTTATTGATCGATTGAATACTTTAAGGTTTTATATATGTTTGAATTGGATCTCAAACTTGTCCCCGGTGGAATTCAAATGTCGAAAATCCGACGTTGCTTCCATGTGGAATATTTGGTTATCTACCATGTGTCGTTTCCTATGCTCGAATTCCAGTTACAGCCAGCTCGAGACCTAATAATGGATTTTTTAAAAACCTGAAAACCTTAATTGAGCAAAATAACATCTCAAGTCCTCAATTGACCAAAGGCCAAAACCATTAAGTCTTGTTTATGTTCTTACTCCAGGAAATGGGCCAATACTTATTTTTTAAAGGGATTGGCAATGTTTACATGGATTTTGATGGTATTTAACTCAACGTGGAATCGTAAACAGAAACTCCTGAGATGGCGGGTGCTAGTGCGATAGTCGACACAACCGATGCTTGCAGCCAGATGGAACCCGTAAAGCCGATGGCTGATGTGGCTATGTGACAAAGTGGGTGTTCGATTTCCTAATAGGTACGGAGGCAACACTAGTTTTGCTTTATATGTGATAGAGGAGGTTGTGTCCGAAAATACTTGTGAAGCAGCTAAAGATGCAAATAGAGTTGACATTCTAATAAGTTACTATGAAAATCAAAGTGGCTTGGACTTGGATCTGTGGCAGTTGAGGAGCTCTTGAGGATTTATGAGAGGGTAGTAGCCAAATTTAGATTCCAACGTAGCGTTTGTGTTGGCTCAAAAGTAGAGCTAAGGTGAAGATTTATGAGAGCATAGTTTGAGTTTGAGCCCGTCAAACAAAAGTTCAGACCCAAATCAAGTGTGGTTATAATCTCCACTAGATCATTTGATTTATAGTAAAATTCTGTGGTGCTCTTATAAAATAGTCACATTGATCGAATCACACAAATTCAATGTCCAATTTATTTCCTTGTTATGTTTATTGTGGTCGATCTCTTGTTTTATATATAGATTTATACATTTGTTTCACCAAAATTTGGTGTTGACCCAAATAGTAAAGTATCCTTCACTAAAAAATTGAGTTTTGGTTTTTTTTCAAATGAATTCAGTGGTGGGTTTGGATAGGACCTCACTTACGATTTTATAGTGAAAATGAACAAGAAACTAAAATTACTAGAAATGACAAACTAAAATTGCAAATGAAAGGACAATTACATTGATAAAGTGATAAAAGAAAACGTTGGGAATATGTGTTTTTGGATTGTGAATCCTCCTCCAATATTACATGCCACCACTTATATAGCCCACTCATTACAACCGTCCACTATCAGTTACTATTCTAAGTACAATTACAATTGCATTCTCGAGATTTTAGGCTTCCTATTCGCACGCCAATCTCATCCGTAAACAATTACAACATCTAAGACCGCTGGGCTAATCAACCATCAGTTGAAATTCAAGATTTCAAAAGATATCCTAATCGTGATGTCCTCCTCTTGTTCTCAACACTTAGCCAAATTTTAATGTGACTAATATTTCGTATGATGAGCCTCATTACACATTTCTGCCAATGTCGATATTGCTCTTGGATCATTTGTCAATGTCAATTTTATCTCTTGACCAGTTGTCAATGTTGGCATTGAATATTTGTGGATGACTACATCACATTGATGTTGATGTCCATGCCATGCATTTATCGATTGTTCAATGGCTTGGATCAATCAATCTAACCTGATAATTTATTTATTGGAAGGGATGCTTCTTGATAATACATATGCTCATTTGATACATATATATTTGTAATTTATATATTATATGAGATGCTTTTTTTTTTTGGTAACCGAGGTGTCCGGGCCAGCTTGCGCGCACCTCGACTATTCCTCGGGGGAGACTAGCACAGCAACCCACCGCCATGGCCTCCCACTTAAATCACAAGTGCTCAGCTGGGGAATCGAACCTGGGACCAGTGCGCCTAACCACACAATCCCAAGTACGCCCTAACCAACTAAGCTACCCATGGGTGGGTTGAGATGCTTCTTGGTAATTTATATGTTAGAAAGAAGCTTCTTGATAGTCTATTTATTAGAAGAGATGCTCCTTTGTATATTAGAAGAGATGCTTCTTGATAATTTATATGCTCGAAAGAGGATTCTTGATAATTTATTCATTAGAAGAGATGCTATCTGATGTTTGGACGATATGTTCAGACAAATACCCAACTTATTCCCTCAGAATCTCGATTATGATTCCTGAACCATTAATTAGTGTACTCAGCTCTATCTCTCTCTAAAGATGTGACGACCTAGTAGCCATCAAACAAGAATAACTCTAGTATACTCTCTTTCCATATTTTTCCACTCTCGGCACAACCACTTTTGCCTCCTCAGAATAAAATACTTGAAATTTTAGACATAATTTATTGAACATATGCTAATTCAATCCTAAACTTTTCAATTTTACCAATTTAGTCATAATCCTTTGCCCAAAATTCCAATATAGCCATTCCGATCAATTTTCACCAAAAATCGTTAACGTGGCGGTCCAGTTATCGCCGATTATCCCATGTGACACACTACCACGTTAGTAATTTCAGGTAAAAATTGGCCAAAATGACTACATTAAAATTTCTCGTAAAGATTTAGAACTAAATTGACAAAATTAAAAAGTTTAAAACTAATAGGCATCCATAGAAGAGTTTTAAACTGATTGAACAATTTTCCCAATGATTAGCCCCTTGAGACGGTCCTTAGTGGGATAACATTTAATCCCGACATTGCACCAATAATAACATTACAGAATCACTGTCGCAACCACTACATTGCACCAATTTCTAACGGTGCCAAATCACCGTTGGAAAAGATGTGACAAACCAAAATATTAGGCACAATCAATATTGCAACCCCTAGATTGCACCAATTGCTGAACAATAGTCATCAACATGGGAAAATCATTTTAAGGATATTTGGAGATTCCAATTTCACTTCGTTTTTCACTCCATTGCATTATTCATTTGTTAGAAGAAATCGTCATTATAATAGCAATAATAACATTGGTAAATAATAACGCATACTTCAGTTCATTAGCGTAATGTCTTAACGATACATGTTTAACAACTATAACACAGTAAGCCCCTTGGCACAATAGTTGGGGGCACTCTCCAATGCTCGAGTCCGACATATGCTCTGACAAAAAAAAAGTCTGGCGTATACTTAATAATAAGGGATAAGTGTATTGAAAGTCCTAAAACTTGTCACAAAATTGCAATTGAGTCTTGAAACTTTCAAAAAGTGCAATTAAATCCTCAAATTGTCATGAAAGTGCAATTAAATCCTAACACTTGTCAAATTAGTCCAATCAAGTCCTTCGGTTGATTGCTATTTTTGAAAATTTTAGGACTCGATTGCACTTTCGTGATAAATTTTAGGACTTGATCGCACTTTTTGAAAATTTCAAGGCTCAAATAATGACCGCATGGTAATTATGTGTTTAGTACAGCTTTGCCAAAGTTTCTATGACTTCAAAACAGGGTCCTTTGATTTTTCGAGGCATTTTGGTAATAATCTCACAACTGCAATACCCATGTAGTTGAAGTACTTTCAAGGTAACTTCCAAACAACTGCCTCTAGTGGCTTTAACGGGGAAAATTGTCTAAAGAATCCTAAATTTATTATATGACAACCAATTTAATCATAAACCTTTCAATTATGCCAATTTAGTCATAAACCTTCTAACAACTTACCAATTTAATCCTAAACTTTTCAATTGTGCCAATTTAATCCTAAAAATTTTGATGATTTGCCAATTTATTCTCAAACCTTTTAATGATTTTTCATTTAGTCCTTTCGGCCAATTTTGGTTGGAAATTACTAACGTGGCAGTCTAGTTAGCGTCATCCGTCCTACGTGGCTCGGCTGTCTTGGCACAGGCGGCACTGACGTGAACAATTTTGTAATTTTAAGAATTTTTATTCTTTTTATTTTCTCTTTTCTTTTTCCCTTTTCCCTTTGCCGACTATCGCTGGGCTACATCGATCGCCGGCCTCAAGCGAGGGCAACCCTTGCCAGATCGGGTGAGGACGAGGGTTGCTCCAACCTAGGGGAAGCGAGGGCTACCCTTGCTAGATTCAGTTAGGGCGGTCCTCACCAGCCTAGGCACGGGTGTGCCTCGCCCAAGGCTGATGAGGGTGGCCCTCGCCTGAGGCTGGCGGAGGGAAAAAGGAAAAAAGAAAAAAGAAAGAAAAAGATTAGACAAGAAAATTCCTTGACTGGATCGCCACGTCAGTTATTTCAGGCCAAAATCAGCCGAAAGAACTAAATTGGCAAATTGTTAAAAAGTTTATGACTAAATTGGCAAATCATTAAAAGGTTTAGAACTAAATTGACATAATTAAACGGTAGTTGTCAAAAGATTTATGACTAAATTTGCATAATTGAAAGGTTTGTGACTAAATTGGCTGTCATACAATATATTTAGAACTTTTTGGACAATTTTCCCAGCTTTGACATTTTGTTGTTTTTGAACTTTTGAAAGATTATTTTATTAGGACAAGAACACCCATACAAGAAAAGATTGATATGCTTATTTTACAATAGTAAAGCATATATAATTAATGATAATGGTGATACTGATAATGATCATAACTCTATTATTATTGTTAGTTATTTCAAGTTTTCATTAATATTTTTCCTTAGAAGGAAAGTTATAGCAACTTTTCTGGAAATTTGAATTAATAATAATTAATAACATTACTTTTTGTAATAGAAGCAATAATAAATATAAATCATACAATATAATAATAGCGACAATATTTAATTATAATAATAACCATTAGAAGATAAGTTAAACCGAAGTTCCGAAACTTGTTACAAAAATGCAATTAAATCATAAAACTCTTAATACAATCAAGTACTGAAATTTGTTCAATTTGTGCAAATGAAGAGTGCAACAATGACCAAAACAATGCTATTTTGGTTCTAACTTCAATGAAATTCGATTAAAAAGAAAAAAAAAACATAATGCTTTGAGGGGCTTAAGGATTAAGCAGCCAGCAGTGTACTTTGCCGGTAAGGGTCACCATTGTAAAATTAGACAAAGCTAATTGATGAACTCAATTGCACCAATTTAATAAGTTTTAAGCTTTTGTTGCACAAATTAAAAGTTTGAGAACTTAATTGCATTTTCCCAACAAGTTTTAAAATTTTAATTTGCCCTTACTAATAGTTATTGTTATTGTCGTTAATATTACTATATTTATGATTATATGGTGAAAACAATATATTAAAAAAGTTCTAATATTACAGACTCTACAATAACGTTATAGTCACCATTTTGATAACCACATCAATCTTGGAGCAGCTTATGCCACATGCATTGATCATTAGTAACCACTGAACAACCACCAGTGCATCTGCTTAGACACAGCACGGCAGAACCACAGTACAATCACAGTACAGCTACAGTTGTATCAAAAAGACTCTAGAAGGTGCTTAATGAGATAAGCCTATATACGATAATGAGGGTTAAGACGTATCTTGGACCATCCCAAGGGGCTCGCCGTGCCCTGTTCTCATGCTCTTATATGTTGGTAATGGTGGTTCAAGTCATCTATCTACTCGGAGCATTCAGTTTCTGGTAAGGCCATTTATTGTTTTAACAGGGATTCATATATTCAAGCCTTCTTCGTTGGATAAGAATTGATTGATTGATCGATTGTCGCCGTTGTTATTGTTGTAATAGTATATAGCAGTTGTAATATAGTAATGCCCTTCATTTTCAGGACGTTCTCCATTTGATGTAAAGAGGAGAGATCTTCATGTGTAAGGAGGCAGACAAAGCCTAAGGTATCAGTAGAATTCAAGAGAAGAAAAATCTTGCATTGACTCGAGTACTTCTACATTAAACTAGGGAAAAACTCAGGGTCAGCGCTATGGTGCGTCTGGATGGGGGTTTGAGGTCTTTTAACCCACGTCTGAAGTTCCTTACAAAAAGTTAAAAACACACTTTAATCTGGATGGCCTTTTGCGGTGATGTGATTTAAATGTCGAATAGAACATTAAAAACAGCCGTTGACACCAATATGGGCATCTCCACTATAAGTAAACACCCAGGCTCTTCTATCACCCAACAAGTAGACTCGAAGAGTTAAAAGATGGAAAGCTCAGGCTCAAGCAAAGCAAAATGCATCACAGGCAACAACGGCGAGGCCGAACTAAAACTCTGCGATGCCGACAGTAAACGAGCTGGATGGATTACCTTCCCATTCATCATAGGTTACTCTCTCTCTCTCTCTCTCTCTCTCTCTCTCTCTGAGTAAAACGAGTTTTATTTGAACGAATGTCCGAGTCGTGTTTGTCGTGATGAACCAGGCACGGTGGCCTTGTTGACATTGGCGGGAACTGGATGGATGGCGAACTTGATTGTGTATTTGATCCGAGAGTTCAATGTGAACCGAATCGATGCGGCACAGATTCACAACGTGATCGGTGGCTGCTTCAGTCTCCTCCCGATCCTCGGCGCGATCATAGCCGACTCTGTCCTCGGATGTTTCTTAGTCGCGTCCATTTCTTCCGTCGTAGCCTCAATGGTATGATAACATCTCAACCTCACAATCTTGCTGTTCACACCTTCTCATTCGATTGCTGAATTAGACAGTTTTTTATAATAATGGGCTAATTGCAAGTAATATAATACTTAAGAGTTTGTGCATTATAACATCTACTCATAATGAACTACCAGCAACATTAAAACAGAAAAGGATAAAAAGAAATTCTCAACAATTTAGTATAACCACCTCTTTTCCAAAGGAATCTTTATTCTTTTTCAATGTTGGAAACATGGAGATTGCTGAAGAGCGCACATCTCTTGGGCTCTCTTGCATATATGTCTTACTGAGAATCTTGTCTCTAACGAATTTCTTACTGACTGATCGATAGCATTTCTTTTTTGGCCCACTTGCCACTTGCAGGGTATGGTTCTTCTATCCTTAACGGCAACGCTTAATTCGTTGAGACCCAAGCCGTGCGGAAACAAATCAAGCTCATGCAAAGCCCCATCAAATCTTCAATTCGCTGTGCTCTACATGGGGATAGTTCTAACAACACTCGGAGTGTCAGGAGTGAGGTTCACCATAGCAACATTGGGGGCTAACCAGTTCGAAAGCCAAAAGGATCAATCGACTTTCTTCAACTGGTTTTTCTTTGCACAATACGCCAGTTGCGTCTTAAGCAGCACGCTGATCGTGTACATCGAGGACAGTGTGAGTTGGGCCTTGGGATTTTGGTTATGTGTCGCTGCGAATCTCATTGGGCTCGCAGTGTTCATTGCGGGAAATCGGTATTATCGCCATGAGACACCTCAGGGGAGTCCACTACTGAGCTTACCTCGTGTCCTCATTGCTAGTTTTCGGAAACGGAAGCTTCAGCTCACATTGATAAGTGATGAGTTCTATTACGGTCCACATGGACAGAAAAAGGAGGTGGACGTACCACCTAAAAAGAATTTCAGGTACCTACAACAATATACATGACAATGATTGATGAATGTTTTATCTTCCCAGATAGATAGGACCAATAATCACGATGTCTAGGCATAGTCTCATTGGGTTTATGCAGTGGTTAAGGAACAGAGATGTGCGTCCAAATTAGGCACACAACAGCAATTTGATTCCTCATCTATCAAGGGCAAACAATCTGAAATCTGAACGATCCACCTAGGCTTAGACGCGAGCCAGCTAAGGTGGAACTAGGACTTCTTGGTCGTCAAATAAAAACAAACAAGAAAGGTGGATGTATACTGATAGCCCAATAAACTAGCACGTCCTTTCGAATGAGGACATCGAGCTTTGATGCAAACATATATTAATCGGCAATATCAGAGTGGAAAGAGATATGATGGTACAGGTAATTCCCAATTAAAAGTGATATCGAATCGATTCTCTTTTCCCTTTCACAGGTTCTTGAATCGTGCGGCTGTGAAAACTGATGGAGACACCAAGTCCGACAATTCGATCGCCAAACCTTGGAGGCTATGCACAGTGCAACAGGTGGAGGACCTAAAATCTGTGATCAAAATGTTACCACTCTGGTCAAGCGCCATCTTCTTGAGCACCCCAATCGCTGTCCAAAACAGCATGACAGTCCTCCAAGCCCTAACCATGGACCGCCACTTAGGACCTCATTTCATGATCCCGGCCGGTTCAATCCTCGTCATGATCATGATCTCAGCCTTGGTCTCTCTCGCTTTGATGGATCGCTTGCGCTCCCAATTCCCACTATGGAAAAAACTGACCAGTTCGTCTCCAACGGTATTCCACAGGATTGGTGCGGGTCATCTCCTGAGTGTGCTCGGCTTGATTGTATCGGCACTAATCGAGTCACGCAGGCTCAGGACAGCCCATATCCACCATCTCCAAAATGTCAACAATCCCACAGTCCCAATGTCGGCACTGTGGCTATTCCCTCAACTGATTCTGATCGGAATCGGCGAAGCATTCCATCTTCCAGGACAAGTGTCGTTGTACTTCCAAGAATTCCCAGCGAACTTGAGCAACAGCGCGACGGCGATGGTTGCAGCGACCATTGGGATTTCATATTATCTGAGCACCGTGTTGGTTGATCTGGTTCGGAGGAGCACCGGGTGGTTGCCGGAGAATTTGAACGATGGGAGGTTGGATCATATGTACTGGTTGCTTGCCGGGATTGGGATGGCAAATTTCGGGTATTATCTCGTATGCGCAAAGCTGTACAAGGGAAAAGATGGGAATTCTAGCTCGAGCCATATGATGACTGATGATGTTGGTGAAAACAAAATGAGGTCTTAAATGGCGTTGTCCATGCATGCTTGGATAAGCCTGTACATTGCATGTCTACTTCGACAGAAGAATGTTGTTAATATGAATGCCCACTCCTTAACTGATGAATTTTTCCATAACAAAATTTATTCACTGCATCGAGTTTATGTAGTTAAAGCCGGAGCCGTGAGTGAATGTTCCCTCATTTGCTCGCCACGTGCACTTGATTTTGCTTCTGTCATTGCTTGTGGCATGACGCTTGGTATAGATTTTTCACGTGGCCCACATCGGACTAACAAGCATTCACTTATTGATGCATTATCTCAAAAAAAAAATAATAGTGTCTGGTTGAGTTTAAATTTCAGGATATGAAGAGACGAAATTTTAAATTTATTTTCAAAGATATCGTATAAATGTGATTCCCAGTAATTTTTTAGCGAAGATAATCATGCTACATTAGCTTGATCTATTTGCCAGTGCTCCAAGTGATGCAAATTTTGCAAAAGTACTCGTGTACTCCTTTTGAGTTGTTGAAAAAGACATAGGAAGTGAATTTGGACACCAGAGTTTAAGTCGGAGTCTTGGGATGCGCAGCCCAAAAAAGGAGATGATATGGGAAAAGGATGGTGGGAGAGAACTAACTGAGATTGACCTTATGACACGACTTAGTGAATACTTTCTAGGAATAAACGACAATGTCTCTCAATTCTTCTTGAATTGTTCTGGCATCTGATATAGTTAGCAAGGATCACCTAGAGGGGGGGTGAATAGGTGATCTTAAACAATTTTTAACAATTTAAGCGGAAATAATTGACCACAGTTGAGTCTGAATAAGATTCAGATTCAAAACAGTTTATATAGACAGTGCTCTTGATGTACAGTGTGTAAAGTAAGAGATAAGGGATAGAAAAACTGCACACAAATTTATAATGGTTCGGCTTATAGCAAGCCTACGTCCACTCTCCCACGCTGACAGTCTACTGGCTGGATTTCATTATGTAATCAAGAGGAATTACAGCTTCTGAGTGACAGCACTCTTGTGTATGATAGGACTCTCTATCTCACACAATCACTCTTACAAAGTGTCCCTCAAGATCTTAATGTTTAGCTCAAAAAAGACAAGAGAAAGGATCGGAGTATGCTCAAACTTTGAACTTGTTGATTCTCGATTTCGTGTATTCCTTCTGCTCCTCGTAGATCTCCTTTTATACTCCTCCACTACCAAACTAGCCATTGGACAGTCTTCAGAGGATCATCTTCCAATCTTCATCTTGGACAGATTTGTATAAAATGGATTGGGTAGCCGTTGGTTGACAAAATCTGAATCCCGCTGATTCTGGTCGCCCATACAATCAGAATCTTGGTTTCCATAAGTAGAGCTTTATCCGTTGTAATGCATACTTGTCATAATGTTTGATTGTCAATCAATTAGACTGAAATTGAGTCAATCAAAACCTTCTTTTTGTGAAATCCATGCCAGATCACTAGCTGTTGTGATCCCTTCTGAATGAGTTTTGCTTCTGCGTCTGAAAAACTTCAGCGTCTGAGAAATTTCAGCATCTGCGTCTGCATAATTACTGCGTTTGAAGAGTTTCTAATTCAGAACTTGAGTCAGCGTAGGTCTTCAGTAAAATCTGAATATTTCATAATTAGAGTCTGAATGACTTTTATGATAAAGTCTGAAGATTTTATATCTGAGTCTGAATTTTTTAGTTCTGAGTCTGAACTTTTAGTTCTGAAAACTTGTAAAGTCTGATATTTCCTTCTGAACTTCCAGAATATATTAACCTGGAATGGAATGCATGTCAGATTCACAAGGTAAACATAGAGAGTTTTGTCAGCTTCAAAATCCATTAGGAGTTTTCCTCAACAGCATCCACAGGCTAATTCCAAACAAATCGAACTAATTATCAAAGGCTAATTCATGTATGAAGTTCGGTTTCCAAAATAACGTGACAAATTTCTTATTTAATAGGTGAATGGGATCCTCATGCGTCCCAATTCATTCACAGCTTACCATATATCATTCTAGTCACTAAATCAGTGTTATATGCACGAGATGAGCCATGAAACATTAGGACAAGTCCCCCTCCCTGATTGGTCGTCAGTTAATTTGAATACCAAAGTCTAGTCTAATCGAATTCTTGGGACACACTCCGACCTTCCAGTCTCCAGTAAGGTTCGTGTCCCGAATTCCGAGATTAAGATTCGGCGCGAAGGCCCTTCTTCTTGAAGGTCTCGCGACCAGCAATTATAACTTTCCAGGTGCGAGACGTAAGGCTTGCTTTCCCTCTAGCCTTTTTCCTATCTCATATACTCTTTGAATAACATCAGAGCCCAGAGAGACTTGTCATCTTTCAAAAATTCTCCGATTCAGCTTGGCTAGACAGGTGAGATGCCTAGGAATATTAAATTATTATTAAAAGTTATCAACATCAGCATCGACCATGCCACGTAGGCCAGTTAGCATCCATATTAGTAATATCCGACTAAAATTAGTCGGAATGATTAAATTGGCATCAATGTAAAAAGTTTAGAACTTTTTTGACACTTTTCCCCAAAAAAATAATTTTCGATTAGTGATCGATCGAATATTTTAAGGTTTTATATATGTCTGAGTTGGATCTCAAACTTGTAGCTAGTGGAATTCAAATGTCGAAAATCCAACTTTGCTTCCATGTGGAATATTAGGTTATTTACCACATGTCATTTCTTGCGCTCCAAATTCAAATTATGGTGAGCTCGAGACCTAATTGTGGATTGTTTAAGAAATCCTTAATTGAGCAACAGAACATCTCAAGTCCTCAATTGATCAAAATACCAAAACCTTAAGTCTTGCTTATGCACTGTGGGCCATACTTATTCTTTGAAGGGATAGGCAATGTTAGTTTATATGGATTTGGATGGTATTTACCTTGTAAACAAAAACTCCGAGATAGCTAGTGCTAGTGCAATAGTTGACACAATCGGTGCTTGTAGCCAGGTGAAACTAGTAAAGCCGATGATTGTTGTAGCTATTTGACAAAGTGGATGATTGATTTATTAATAGGTATGGAGGCAACATTTGTTTTGCTTTATCTGTGACAGATGAGGTTGTATATGATAATACTTGGGAAGCGGGTAAAGATGCCGGTTGAGTTGACATTCAAATAAGGTCCATGGTTATGGCGAAAATCAAAAGTGGCTTGGATTTGGATCTATGGCGGTTGAGGAGTCCTTGAGGAGTAATGAGAGGGTAGTAGTTAGGGTGTCAAAAGAACTAGGAATCGCCTGGACTGCCCGAAATCGGACCGAACCAGCTCGAAATCAAACCGGACCGAATCGGCCCAGAACTAGCTATTCCCATGAAGACCGGTACATCCCGATTCCAATTTACTGGAATTGATAAGTATCGGTCAGGTTCCCAGTTCTGGTTATGGAACCGCTCACCCGCATACTCGGACCGGACCGGTACAGATCAAAACCCTTGTTTCCTCTTCGTCTCTCTCCGTCTCTCGCCTCACTCATCTCACGGTCTCCGTATAGATTCCTCAAAATTATTGAGACAACTCCTACCTCAACATAGTTTCTAAGCCTACGTCCATCAACTCCACCTTCTTCTCTTCCATTATAAATATTTATGAAAGAGTAGGGGCCAAACACCGGCCACAACAAATGACATTTTTTTTTTGTAACTTTTGCTTGTAACATTCGCTTCATTTCGAATTTGATTTTTGTAAAGGGTTGACGTTGGAAAGCGACAAGTACTGGATATTAAGAAGGTGCCTTGAATGACCTAGAGAACCTATTGACACCTATAATTAATTAGATTGTCGACAATCGAAATAAATAAAAATAATAATAAAAGATGTCAAAGAATGATGTAGCCCATACGAGATGGTTCACGTAAGCAAAACAACTGGCAAGTACTGGGAGATACCGGCAGGAAATTTAAAATTGAAGGAGCTTGAGTCATAGAAGAGTGAGCGCCAAAGTTGTCGACGAAAATTGTCATCGAGGCTGTCGACAAGGGAAAGGACAGACGTCAAGCCAGGAAGAGCTCGACGACGGTTATCACCCCAGAAAAGACAAGTATCAAGTCAGGAAGAACTCGACGGCAATCATCATCGCAGAAAGGACAGGTGTTAAGCCAGAAAAAGCTGGACGACGGTTATCACCCTGGAAAGGACAAATGTCAAGTTAGGAAGAGTTTGACGAGGGTTATCACCCCGGAAAGGACAGGTGTCAAGACAATACGAGCTCGATGATGATTACTGCTTCAAGGAGGACAGGTGTCGAGACGATATAAGCTCGATGACGGTTACTACTTTGAGAAAGACAGGTGTCAGACGGTATGAACTCTATGACGGTTATCACCTTGGGACAAAAAGATAAGATCGATGGCAGTTTACGGACATATGTTATTAGATGGACGATGAAAATGAGATCAACGGTAGTCAGTAAACACAGTATCAAAGGTGGTTACCAAGCCCACATTATAAATAGCACTCGACTGCCAAAAGAAAGCCCTCCCGCGAATACAAATCAAAATGCTGTCTTTCAATTATCTTTACTTTTCAGTACTGCATCTTTAATTTCCATAGCTGTAATTGTTTACTTTCTAAGCCAATAGCCTTGTAATGTTGTATTGATGAACTTCGGATGCCTCTAGTCACTGGACGGACTCGTCTGAATTGTCCATAAATATAAGTCAAACTTCGTTACTGCATGAAATTTGAGTTATTGATTAAGACAATCGAACTCTTTGTTCACGCCTAGATAACTCCTGTCCGAAATTAGACCCAAAACCCGGTCTCCTCTAATTAAAAAATCGAAGAACGACTTTCGGTAAATTATATTTTATCGTGGGAACATTTACGGCAAAACAGAACCCAACTTTTCAAATAGAATCCTTCCAAAGCCGGGCTTGCTAGAAAGCTATGGAAATAAAAATATACACAAACAGATCACGACAAAGGAAGGTGATCTACTCCACTTTGGACAGATGAACTATATGAATTTGTTGGGGACATTTCAACCGGTTCCATGGACCCCCCAGGAACCGGACTGCGGTCAATCGCTATGTTGGAATCTAAACTTGGCTACTGCTGGAAATAATCAGTTCCAAGGTGGGAGGGTCGATGGAATCAACGGGGGTTTTCAGTT